CACTCTCTCCGTGACTCCCTTGTCCACTCCACACTCCCCTCCAGCCCCACCACACCCGGCACTTTTCCCTGCAACCGCAGGAAGTGCTACACCTTCCCCTACACCTCCTCCCTCACCCCCATCCCAGGCCCCAAGAAGACTTTCTACATCAAGCAGATGTTCACCTGCACATCTGCTAATGTGGTATACTGTATCTGCTGTACCCGTTGTGGCCTCCTCTACATCGGGGAAACCAAGCGGAGGCTCGGGGACCGCTTTGCAGAACACCTACGCTCGGTTCGCAATAAACAACTGCACCTCCCAGTCGCGAACCATTTCAACTTCCCCTCCCATTCCTCAGACGACATGTCCATCCTGGGCCTCCTGCAGTGCCACAACGATGCCACCCGAAGGTTGCAGGAACAGCAATTCATATTCCGCTTGGGAACCCTGCAGCCCAATGGTATCAATGTGGATTTCACAAGCTTCAAAATCTCCCCTCCCCCTACCGCATCCCAAAACCAGCCCAGCTCGTCCCCGCCTCCCTAACCTGTTCTTCCTCCCACCTCAAGCCGCACCCCCATTTCCTACCTACTAACCTCATTCCGCCCCCTTGACCTGTCCGTCCTCCCTGGACTGACCTATGTCCTCCCTACCTCCCCCTACACTCACCTTTACTGGCTCCATCCCCACCTCTTTGACCTGTCTGTTTCCTCTCCACCTATATTCTCCTCTATCCATATTCTATCCGCCTCCCCCTCTCTCCCTGTTTATTTCAGAACCCCCTTCCCCTCCCCCATTTCTGAAGAAGGGTCTAGGCCCGAAATGTCAGCCTTCCTGCTCCTATGATGCTGCTTGGCCTGCTGTGTTCATCCAGCTCTACACCTTGTTATCTCAAGACCACAACTAACTTTGGTTTAATGTAATCAATATTACTTTTCATCCTCCTGATTGGAATTTTTACATGAAGTCTGGCTTTTTAATGAGATGTGTAGAAGGATCATAGGATCTTCCACCACTTACAGTTAGTAGCATGGAGGCTTCAGTGCCACCTCTGGAAATCATTCAAACAGAGGTAGTTAGTTGTAATGCTGCCCTTGACCTTCAAGATGGTGCTGGTCAGGGGTTTGGTATCATGCATATAATACACACAGTTGCTGTGAGTCCATGATGGAGGGAGCGAATATTTGTGGATGTGGCACTAATCAAATGAGCTTTGTCCTGGATGGTGTCAAGCTTCCAGTATTTTGTTGCACTCATTCAGACAACTGGGGAATGATCTAACTTATAGCTTGATGATGCGGGCTTTGAAGAGATAGAAGGCAAGTTATGTGCTGCAGGACTAATATGGTCAGTTTCTGGTCAAAAGGTGTTAGGAGTTGCAAAAGGTGCTCAATATTGTTCAATCATCAGTGAACAATCCCTGTCCTGACCTTGTTAGAGGAAAGGTCATTGTTGAAGCAGCTGAAGATGGCTGGTCCTGGAACACAGCCCTGCGGAACTTTTTGTAGGACTATCCTGGAGTTATTCCCAGTTCTCAAGGACCCCAGTTCACACAGGTTCCCTGATACCCCATACTGTCAACCAACAACCTACTATTGGAACCATATATTTGTATTCTGACATATGATTTCTGGTTTCCACACAGATGCATCTACACTAGTTGCCTCAACCATTCCCTGTGGTAGTGTGTTTCACCTTCTCACCACTTTCTGGGCAAATTATTTTCTTGCCTATTCTCTACCTTGGTTTCTCATTGACTGTCTTATGTTGATAGTCTCTAGTTACGCTTTTCCTCAAAGCAAAATGGAACCACTCTCTTAAAACTTTTCATAATTTTAGGCATTCCTCAGCCTTCTTTTTGCTACCAAGAGTAGAGACCCAGTCTATCAATTTTTTTCCTGATATGTACTCGCACACATTTTCGATTTCATCTTTGTAGATCTTC